TTGTAAGTTAGTGGTTACGGGCACCTTTAATGAAATATTGGAACTTCCTCTGACTAATTTCAGATAATTGCTTTACAAATTGTTTTTCTTATTAGCAATATCAATTCAAAATGTATATAGTGCTTGATAATTTTTTTTTGATGTTTTCGAGTACCCTTGTCTGCCTCCTCTTACTTAAATCCCACAACATACATGGTCATTTATACATCATTTCAGTTTTATAAAAGTGAAACTGAGAACCGAAGCTGCTTATTTTTCTATTGAGGAAGTTTTAGAAACAATGTTAGAATTGAAATAGGTGTAAAATACTTAGCACCTTCTTAGGCATTTCGATGCTACAAAGCAAATATTATGTAATATTTTAAAACATCATTCTCTTCTTCCAGCCATTTTTGCATCATGGTGAATATTGTATATTTAAAAAATATGTTATTTTTGTACATAAGAAATTCTGAGAATAGGGCTAATGACAACACAACTTATTTGTTGTACTCATATTTCCAAGTGATTCTTGATTAATAATTAAACAAAATGTGTGAATACGCTAAAAAGTGCCATTTCTTTTATTTCTCTTAGGCCTTTTTCTTCCTGAGAAACTAAATATTTAGTGTATTATTTGCAAATTTGATACTGTGGGTAAAAAATAGACAACTTTCACATAATGTGTTAACATTACCAAATTACTTTGCATGTTATACACCACATATATAGTACACTATGTTTCATGCTGTGGTGCTTACAGAAATATAATACTTAGTTTTTTCATCACAAAGTGTAAAATTCAGTACATGAAATAATATAAGATATATCACAAGGCTGTACATAATTGTCAAAAGAATGGTATAAACTTAGAAGAGGACTGGTCAAAAGTTGAGTATGCTTCATAGAAGAGTTTGGAGCCATGTTGGGTTATGTTGCCTAGATTTGCAAAGCCAAAGGAAGGGAAATATGGACAGATAGAATTGAGAGAGATGCTTCTTTGCAACAGTCTGTGGTAATACTTTTAACAGTCAGCAAATCAAGCATCTTGTTGGTATTGACACACTTATTCTCCTTCTAATGATGTGGAGAACTCTGTTCTGTTGAAGACCCCATGATGGAACTGCTATGTTATATGGTAACTCTATATTTAACTTTTTGAGGAACTGTATAAAAAGACAAGATACATAACTTACAAAAATAAGACATTTTGAATGGAGCACTTTGATGTCTATGTGCCATTAAATTCCAGTTTGCTTTGCTTTTTGTCAAAATAAGAATAAGAACTCACAAAGCAGAGGTGATAAAAAAAAGAATTTTATTCCCAAGCCTCCCCTGGTGGCGCAGTGGTTGAGCACTGGACTGCGAAGCTGCCTGCAGCCTCTGCAGCACCGGTTCGATCCCCGGCTGCCGGCGAGGGTTCCACATGGCGCGACAGACTCTCCTGCTGCGTCTGCTGCTCCACTCAGCAGTGTATTTCATCACTCTGCCTGTTCTGTTCCCCGCTCTGGCTCTGTTGAATTCTCTCACCCTCCCATGCTTCTGACTGTACCCAGTGCTTGTATAAATAAATAAATAAATCTTAAAAAAAAAGCATAATTCACAGCAAATAATGGAATATCTCTGACAGTTCTCAGGGAATAGAAAAATTAATTTAAAACAGAATTCTAACATGCTAATAATTTTCAAACTATATTTGAAATTTTTTTCTCTTTACATTGTAAAGATTTTCATTCACTGGGTGTTTACTCAGTGCTATTATGAGTAAAACAGTGCTAAGCACAAAGGAAGATTTTTAAAAAGGATTATTTAATTTATTCAATATTTATTAAATACCTATAGGAGATAGAATGCTGTGACAGTCACTGTAGTAAATAATTCCTGGCCTCTGGGAACTAACTCTGTTGTCTTTGAGGAAGAGCAGGTGTACACACATGAAACTAGTAAGTAGGGATTAAAGGCTCTGAAAGTTAGAATTTGAATAGTACTGAGGGAGTTGGAAGGAAAGGAACCGGGGTGGCTGGAGAATGTAGTGAAACTCTGAAAAGTGGCCATGAGGTTAATGTCTGGATTAAAAGTGCAGACCATTCTCTCTTTTTTCATCAAGTTGGTTGAGAATTGTGGAAGAAGGCAAAGTGTTTGTAGGAGAGACATGTGGGAATGTTGTGACTTGAGGGGAGAACCTTGGTTCACTAAAGGCAATGATAAGATTAGGACAACAGGATTGGGTTAACTTTATGAACACCTTTGGGCAAATTATTTAACCTTTCTAAACCTCAACAACATTATTTGTATAAGCCTCAATTTCATTATCTGTAAAACTACCTTCCTTATAGATGAGTTGTGAGGATTAAAGTGTGTGTGTGTAGGACATTTAGAAAAGTGCCTGGAACATATTAAGCACTATTATGTCCAAGCTATTCCCATTAAAAAAGAGAAATGTAAGGTCCCATAGTAGCCACTGAGATTTGGGTTCTAACAGGAATAAATTAGAAAATTTGAGAATAAATCATTTCTCTCAGTATGGATTTTTTTCCTTCTAATCAGTCCTTTTTACATATCTTTTTTAAAAAATCATAATTAGCAATCTTATCTCTACACTGAGGTTAAGTAATTTACCTATGTTTTCTTCTAATACCATATACAAGTAGATTTATGGTCTGTTTGGAATTAATTGACTCTTGTATAAGATGTGAAGTGTGAATCAAATTTTATCTTTTTTTCCCAAAATATCATCCAGTTGTCCCAAAACCACACAGCCCATCCTTTCTTTCTTTCTTTTTTTTAAAGATTTATTTATTTATGCCTACAAGAACTGGGGTACAGGCCAGAGATGCTGGGGGGGGAGGTGAGAGGATTCATCAGAGACAGAGTGGGGAATAGAACAGGCAGATTGACCGAAGTCACTGCTAAGGGGAGCAGCAGGCGAGACAGAAGTCTGCTGTGCCATGTAGGTAGCTCCCTGACCTGGGATAGAACTTGTGCAGCAAAGGCTGCAGATAGCTTCATAGTGCTATGCTTAACCCCTTGTGCTGCCAGGGAGACCCCTGTATCAGACTTTCTGAAGAGTTGGAGGAAATTAAAATATACTAGAAAATATTTAAAACCATATTTAAAAATGCAGTTTTTCCTCTGCTCAAGGGAAAGCACCCAAAAATTTGACTCCTTCAGAGAGTGGCCTCTTACTACTTCTTTTACTCTTTTGTACTCAGGACTGAACCGCTGAATTTCTCCTTGTAGTCACTGTCCAGCTTTGGGAAACTTCATCCCCTAGTTTCAGAATTGGTCTTGGCCCAGGAATTACTTTCCTAAGCAATATGTTTCTATGAGTTTGAATTCATTTGATTACTACCTATCAGCAGTCATTGTCCATGGTAGACTTTGACACCCAAATCTTGCAGAATAGTTCAAGAGTGTGTGTGGTTTGTTCCAAGTCTGAGCACCTTTGAGATTTTCCTGCCAATGTAAATTTTAGAAATGCCTTTGATTCTTTCAGTTGTTCAGTGGGTTATTCTTGAATCAGACACATACTCATCATAAACCTCTGCCAGAAATCAATAATAAATTTTAGATAGAGTGCAGTCTGAAACAATAACACAAAGAGAAGTATTATCCTTAATGCTCCAAAGAATTCTTAGATAATGAAGACAGCACTTTATCATATATTTACAGAGCATGATTTTTCTAAGTGACCCCTATTCAAATTGAACTCCCTTTGTCTACTTTTAAAAAAGAGTGATCATGGCCAAGTCATAGACGTTAACTTGGCCAAATAAAGATACAATTGAAGATGTTAAATCACCATTGATTGTAAGGATTAGATTAAATTATTGTAGTGTAGTTATTGATTAGCCTCCATATTGGTAGAGCAGGTTTTAATACCTTCTTTCTATTACAAACCTCATTCCTACTTGTATTCATATTTTCCACAAGCCTTCAACATCATCTTGTGCTAACATCCATTTGTGCACCTCTGGCAATCTGGCATAGCTCTGTCATTGTATTAGGCCACAATAATTGATTTACTTGTATGTTTTTCTAGCACTTGGAATTTAGTGAGTGATGAATGAATGCTTATTGAATGATAAGTGAATCATTAAAGAACATTGTGATGTGTTATCTTTTTAAGATATACTCTACTTCAGAAGTTTCTTAGTGATTAGGGGTAAGATTTTATAGAGAGCTAGTTTATTTACTAGAAATTAATGTATGGTGCCTACAGTTTAAATTTCTTTTTGAGAATAACAATAATAAAGAAAAGATCAAAATCAACAAGCAACTGTGGACCAGAGACACACTATGGGGAGGGCAGGGAGAGGAGGGATTGGGGTCAAAATAAGGGGGGTGCAATTGTATGGGGACTATAAAAAAATCTTATAAAAAATTCCTTTTGTTGTAAATTAAGTTTTGCATTGAAAGTATCTTGATTAGAAGAAAAGGGTAGAAGAACTGCTGAGCTCTAGCTCATAATCAGTTTTTCTCTCACCACCAGAGCCATAATTTGTACAGCTTTCTATTTTAAGGAGGTAAGAAAGAAAATGAAATAAAACAGTATGTTGTGAGATTCAGCTCTTTTTCATCTAGTCAGTATCACACACTCAAGTCGTATGACTTATCATTGATTAACCCTTTGCTTATTTTGGTAAAAAATTTCCTTTTTCCTATATAAAGGAAAGTTTCTGTTGGAAGTGTGATTTTTGTTTAAAAGCAGGAAATAAAAGTTACTGAGGAATGGAAGGAGGAAGTTTCTTTTTCTAAATATGTGTATGTAAGCATAATTGTATATGAAATTAAGTTCTACATTATATAAAGTTTTAATGTAAAAGCATTTGAAAATCAATGTGAACATTCAAATTTAAGCTGTTTGGCCCTGTGTTGCTCAATCATATGTACTTTTTGGATATTTGAGAACATGAATCTTTTAAAGTAGAAGTAATTATCAGCAAGTTTGTTTTTTCTTTATACAGAGGAATTAATGAAATGCTCATTTGCTTCATGACCAAACTTGATTTCTCTCATAGAAATTTCAAGAAATTGCTGAAAAAAATATGGAAAAATTGAACCGTATTGAGAAATCACATGAACAGTTGTTTCTTGAAAATTCACGCTTCAAAACCATGCTATCACAGACTCAAAGGGAACAGACATCCTTGTTGGCAGCCTGTGCGTTGATGGCTGGTGCCTTATATCCTCTCTATAGCCGATCATGTGCTTTGTCTACACAGAGAGATTTTCTCCAGGAGCAGGTCAACACCTTTGAGTTATTCAAATTGGAAGTTAGAACCTTAGCCCACACTTTGTCAACTGTAGAGGAAAAAAAGCAAGAGGAAGCCAAGATGAAGAGAAAACCGTTCAAAGGATTGATACGTGTATTCCGCAAAGGTGCTATTGCAATTTTGGCAGCAAACAGACTCAAGATTTTGGGCCAGTCATGTGCTTCTCTTTTTACCTGGATGGAGAGTTTCAAAGAAGGCATAAGTATATTAGTGTGTACCGGAGAGCCCAAAGACAAGCACAAATTTCCAAGTAAGATAATTTATGCTTTTTAAACTATATATTGAGCATAAGTGATATAAAATGTAAATATGTTGGATCATTATGCAAAAATTTTTAAAAATTATGTAATATGTCAAATAATGTAATAGCTTCATATAATAGGTAATAGGTATGTGGATAAATGTATTTTTATGTAAAGATAAACACATGCAATTTGCAGCAACATGGATGGCGCTGGAAGGGATCATGCTCAGCGAAATAAGCCAAAAAGAAAAAGAAAAATACCGGATGGTCTCACTCATAGCAGGAATCTAGAAAACTTAAATAAGGGACCAGGAAAATGAATAACTATAAGAAAGTGAAAATCAAAATCAACAAAAAACTATGAACCAGAGACACTTTTAGGGGGGCGGGGGTGGGAGGGGAGGGATTGGGGTCAGAATGGGGGGGCTGCAATTGTATGGGGAATATAACAATAAAATTTATTAAAAAAAAAAAAAAAGAAATGAGAAAAAAAAAAAATGTATTTTTATGTATAAGGTTCTTGGTGTTTTGTTATAACCACTAACATAAAAAAGTAGTAAATATGTATGATTTCAACTCTTTCTAACTTTATTATATTTGAATCCTCTTCACAGTAAAGAATGTATGTAGTGATTTTTAAATTGAAGTCAATCCAGAAACTGCTCTATTTAAAATTAATTAGCAGTATAATTTATTTTTACTTTCTTTGAGTAAGTATAAAGTAATCAGAGTGAAACTTTTATTAAAATGAGACAAATGTGAAATTTCTAGCTAACATTTTTGGACTACTTAACTATTCTGAAGAAACAATGAATTTAATTTTTAACTTTAAAAAGGAAGCTATTAACTAATATAAATATTACTAAATAAAATTTCCTTCTCTTTCCTTTGATGTCAGTTAACAGTTATATATAAAATAAATGAATGAAATCAATCATAATAGTTTGCTTGTAGACTTTCCACATAAGACAAAGTTTGGCTTACAAAATGTGTTAAATGGTGAAACATTATTATGACTTTTAAATATGGATTTTAATATTTTTCGCATTGTATAATGGATATTTTTCTATTTTTGCAGAGCATCAAAAGGAACAGTTACGTTGTTTGCAAGCGCTCAGTTGGCTTACAAGTTCTGACCTTCTTTCTGCAATAATCAGCTCCATGGCTGAGTTACAGGAAGTCATTACTAAAACAGGTATGATTCCCTCTTTTATGGCCTTGAAACATACAGTGAAAAATAAATGTTCAGAAATGCTTCATAGTATAAATCCTATTAAACCATCTAGGAACAAAATATATTTCTCTTTGTCTTTCTTTTATTCAGATACAGAGACTATCAATCTGTATTTAATGATGTAGTAAATTAATATATATTTTGATGGATTTTTTATTATTTATGGTGAATTTCTTGGTGAATATTTCCATCTTAATTTTTTTCTCTTTGTGATTTGATTTCACTATGAAAAACTCATCATTAGCCTTTTTAGTAATACTGGTAGCAATGTTCTTTCAACTATTTTAGTTTTCCTTCCTTTCTATTTCTGACTGAAAATTTTAGAATTTGAGTAATAGCTAAACCACTAGAAAAACTTATATCTGATATATTATTATTTATTATTAATTTTAAATAGGGTTAATATGAGTAGTCTCCTTTCCAGCAGATGTGGAACCACCTATAATCAGTAATATCTGAAGGTCTAAAATGCAAGTTTGTATTTTCATGACTCAGATTGCATGATATGTTTGTTTGAAAGATTCATGGTAAACTAATTTCTCTACATTAGAAGAATAGCATACATAGCTTGTTAGTTATGCTGTGGTTAAGCTATGTCATTGGACTAAGACTAATTATGGTTATTTTAGATATATTAATAGTAAAAAAAAGGTATAAAGTTAATACTTCCTGCTTACTGAAATATTGCATGCATCAATAAAGTATTAATTTGGGATATAATTTAATTCTTAAGACAATTCTGTATGTAAATATGGAGCATTTATTGTGATTTCAAATACAAAATCCTAGGCTCTTGTGGTAGGAAATTTATGATTCAAAGATTATATTTAGGTTTTGGTCACTGATAACTAATAATGATTAATCATTAATAAGCAAAATGAATATTTAAAGTATTGGCAAAATATCAACACATACTGGGTTTGGAGTCTGAAATAATAATCTAAATAAATGTGTTTTAAGAATTTTGGTATTACAGGGCCTCCCCGGTGGCGCAGCGGTTGAGCGCTGGGTTGCGAAGCTGCCCGCGGCCTCTGCGGTGCCGGTTCGATCCCCGGCTGCTCCCCGGCCACCAGAGGAGGGTCCCACATGGCGCGCAGACCTCTCCTGCCGCCCGCTGCTCCCCTCAGCAGTGTACTTCGGTCCTTCTGCCTGCTCTGCTCCCCGCTCTGGCTCTGGTGAATTCTCTCACCCTCCCGCGCTTCTGACTGTACCCAGTGCATGTATAAACAAAACAAACAAATAAATAAATAAATAAATAAAACATGCCTCTATTAAAAAAAAAAAAAAATTAAAAAAAAAAAATAAAAAAAAGAATTTTGGTATTACAGCTGATAAGGGATTGATCACAAAGATATGCAAAGAACTCACAACACTCAACAAAAATAAACAATCCAGTCAAGAAATGGGCAGAAGAACCTAAAAGACACTTCTCCAAAGAGGAAATGCAAATAGCCAACAGGCATATGAAAAAATGTTCAGCATCCCTTATCATCAGGGAAATGCAAATCAAAACCACAATGAGATACCACCTTACACCACTAAGAATGGCACATATCAAAGAAACTAATAACAATAAATGTGGGCGAGGATGTGGTGAAAAAGGAACTCTCCTACATTGCTGGGGGAGTGCAAACTGGTCCAACCACTATGGAAAGCTGTCTGGAGGTTCCTCAGTCTACTAAAAAATGGAGCTACCATATGACCCAGCAATTCCACTCCTAGGGATCTACCCAAAGGACACAAAAACATTGATTCAAAAAAATACCTGTACCCTGATGTTTATTGCAGCACTATTTATAATAGGTAAAACCTGGAAGCAACCCAAATGCCCAAAAACAGATGACTGGATCAAGAAGAGGTGATATAGATACACAATGGAATACTATTCAGCAATCAAAAAAGATAAACTAATGTCATTCGCAGCAACATGGACGGAGCTAGAAGGAATTATGTTCAGTAAAATAACTCAGAAGAAAAAGAAAAATACGGGATGTTTTCACTATAGGAGGAATATAGGGGAACCAAATAAGACATCAGGGGAAAAAAATAATAACAGTACAAAACACAACACAACAAAACAAAACCAGACAATTACAAACCAGAGAAATCCTGCAGGGAAGGGGAAAGGAGAGGGATCAGAGGGAGGGAGGGAGGAGCACAGAGGACTATGGTGATGGTACACAAGTAAATTAGTGAAGGAAATTCTATGGGGACTACACCTGAGGGGGGGAAGCAAACATTGTTTAAAAATGAAAAATGATGTAAAAAATATATAAATAATTCTTTAAAAAAAAGATTTATTTATTTATTTATACAAGCACTGGGTACAGTCAGAAGCGCGGGAGGGTGAGAGAATTCACCAGAGACAGAGCAGGGAGCAGAGCAGGCAGAAGGACCGAAGTACACTGCTGAGGGGAGCAGCGGGCGGCAGGAGAGGTCTGTGCGCCATGTGGGACCCTCCTGCAATGGCCGGGGAGCAGCCGGGGATTGAACCAGCACTGCAGAGGCTGCGGGCAGCTTCGCAACCCAGCGCTCAACCTCTGCGCCACCAGGGAGGTCCCTATAAACAAATTTTTTAAAAAGGAAACAGGAGAGAAAACTAGAATAATAAGGTTACTTAAAAGGTGCTGTTGGAATTAGAAATAACACAAAACACATGGAAAGTGACTAGCATGGTATAGTGACTAGCTCTTATACTTAATAATAAATAATCAATTTTCATATAAAAATGTTGGTATTATAACTTTAAAGCAAAGTCTAACATTCTTAAAATAATTTGATAAAAGTTTTTGGATTTAGTTTAATAAGGAGATAACGTGTCAATTACTTGTTTTGTAGGTATGTGAACACTTAAAAGTAGATTGGGTTTTATGTTATAATCTTGTTTACATTATTATTTTATCCAACACATTTATTCCTATCAGTGCTCTATATAAACTTTAGGAGATAGAAGAATATGTGACTTGATGTGACCTTCTAGAAAATATGCACAATGGTTATAGAACAAGAAGACAAATCATGAACAATTTTAAAGATTGGATGATAAAGTACAGACTTTAAGTGTCAGAGTTCGTAGAAGGTGCAGCTCACTATTAGCTTATTAGTTGTGGGAAGGCAATATATTTGGGTCTAGAATGAGAGTCATTGAGAGAGAAGAGATGGCATTCAAATGAATGGCATAGTTTAAACAGACGAAGAGGTGAGAATAAACGTAGAGTGAAAGGGAGGTGTTAAAGTGATTAAGGAGAATGGAAATCCATATCTAAGCCTGGCTTAGATGGTGATTACTAAAATATATTTTCTTTTGTAGCCATGTTGGAGAGTAGTTGGAGAAAAGATGGCTGATTGGTATTGTATCAGATTGTAGATGTTTTATAAAGGTAGGCAACAGTGATCCCAACCTTGAATACATTTTCGAAAAGTGGCCCCTTGCAGCCTTTTTAAGTTAAAATATTGACACCGTGGTTACTGAGATCTCGATAAAAGTATATATATATGTGAGACCTATCAAGAATGTAGACTAAGAGTGGTATCTTTAAGTGCTTCCTTACCTCAGAACAGAGCTGCCTTTGATGTTAGACCTGGTTGCACCTCTAATAGCTTGGAGAAATAGCAAGCTCAGGGAAATGTATTTTTAGGGAAGGTTTTAAATGTTGGCTAAAGAACACCTCTTAAGGAAGACAAAGCAAGTGTTAGTTAGAGAGGGAGAATGAGTGATGTATCAAATTCTTAAAGAGTATTGAAAGGTTATGGTTGGGACAAGTAGATAATTGAGTATCGCACAACTCGTACAAAGTGGTAGTATAAACATTCTGTGGAGCTGACCAGCTGGGTTTATTTTTTTAATTTATTTTTAATTGAGGTAATTGTTGGGTTTATAGAATAATTCTGTTCAAAACAGCATGAAAGATAAACATATTCTCTCTTGCAGGCAACGTGTTTTCATTTTTAAGTGTATGCTGTTAGTGGAAATTTCAGATATTTTAACAGAAAAGATGGGAAAAGTGTATGAGTGGTTATTGATAGATAATAATGGGGTTAATAAATGTAAAACCACAGCAGCTTATATAGTCATGTTGAGTTTATAGTTTAAGTATATGACTAACCTAAATAATCATTGTATGTAGAAGGAACCTTTGAATGAGTCATGTTTGATTTTATATTCACCTGTGAAAATTAGGCAAGTTATTTAACTCTGCTGGGCCTCAGACTCTTTACCTTCTTGGTTATTATGAGGATTTAGTGCAACAAAACTTGTTGGATATTTTATACAATACCTGACATAGCGTGGATGCTAAAGAAATTGTAAAGGGTAATGCTAATTGACATAAGTCAGAAGGAGAAAGACAAATACCAGATGATCTCACTCATATGTGGAATGTAGAAAACATAACAAAGGGTCAGTCAAAACCAAACCAGTAGTAAACTCTTAATATCTGACTCCAAAACTAAGGCAACTGGGGGGGGGTGTTGGTAGGTGAGAGTGGGAGAGGGGAAGAACCCAGTGGAACATGGTAGAGGATTGTTGGGCACTGGTGGTGGCAGGGCATGGAAATACACATTTGGGGAGGTCTGAACCTATAATCCCTGGAGCAGATACAAAGATGTAAACTACTTCACCTCAAGAAACATAATTTTGGGGAAAAACGTTCAATGTGAAGTGCATGGAGCCGAGCTTGGTTTGTTATAAAGACTCAATAAAGGTTAAAAAATTAAAATTGTTTCCTTACCACCCATTTCACCACGAAATGGCAAAGAGCAGTGAACACTGTCTACCTGTATGTTTTTAGACTGTTAATTATTAATTTTCTAGTCTAAAACTATTAACATTCTGTATAGTGGAGGCGACACAATATACGTTAAGAAGAGATTCTGCTTGATTTTGAATACTGGTTCTGACACTAGCCTTATGATATGGGGAAGTTTTTTAAGCTCTCTGTGCCTCAGTTTCTTTATTTGTA